AATCCCCTGCGGATTTCCCTATCCTGACTTACCTGATTTGCATGGCTTTTCCGTTTTTAGGGGCCAGTGTAGACGTAGCCTAGATGTAGGAGTTGTGAATTGAGACCACAAGTGCTTACAGGAGGGACACTGTCATTACGAAGAGTCTCGGATGGACAAGCCTTCCCCTTCCAGACTCAAGTGGATTGAATGGAGGGGGTGGGGAAGAGGAGCTTGAACCAGCAGGCTACATGCTCTCCAGGTGTGCGCTGTAAGACTGGTTCAACCTGTCTCTTCCTCCTCTCTCCGACTCCCATTCTAAGGATAGACCTAAAACAGACTCCATAAGGAGTCTCTTTGTTACTTTGAAAATTCCAGAGGGAGCTAGAATTTTTTGGCCAACCTACATGGTGGGCCAAGAGCTGAAATCACTGAGAAACTGACAAAGAACTGAAATCACTATGTTTGGCCCAAAGCCAGACCCATCGTGGAAGCAGCAGCTGGTAGGAGTTCAGCAGCCAGCAGGGCAGCTAGCGGGAATGGTCGGTGAGTGGCCATTAGGAATAGCAGCAGGTGGCCAGCAGGGTGGCTGCCGGAAGTGGCTGGCGAGTGGCCAGTAAGAGAAGCAGAAAGCAGCCAGTGGGGCAGCTGGCAGGAGCAGGCGGCGCGTGGCCAACGGAGTGCGTAAGATGCCTCCTATCCCCACCTCCCCAAGGGCGGGAGGTTAGCTGTGAAAATCACCCCTGAGCTTTGATCTGCCCTGACCAATGGCAGCAACTGCAACTGCGGTACGGAGAAAGTTTGGGCATGTGAATGAGACACTTACATTTCTGGACTTGTGTACCTGAGAGGAAAAGGACATTGCTCAACCCACTTAAGCTGAGACGTTTTCTTGTGGGCTGGTTATGAACTCTGTTTGTGGTATTTTCCCAAACTAATGCTACATTACTTCTCTCTCTCTTTCATTAAAAGTTTATTTTCTACACTCAGACTCTGTGCCTGCGAGTGGGGAAGCATTGCCTTCCAGAAGCGCCCGGGGAGCGTGAATTTCTCAGGCTACTGCGTGGGGCTTGAGCCAGTTCTGTATGGGATGGATGAAAAGGAACCCCTAGATATTGAATCTGGCCCTGGCTGATGCCGGTGCTGCCTGGCAGAAGGGTTACGTTTGTTTACAGTGAAAATATTTATAATAAAAATTATAAAGCAAGTTCTGTACACTTTGTATTGTACTGTAATCAAAATCAATATATTTGAAAATGTAAGAAAAAATATTTAAATAAATGGCATTCTGTTATTGTTAATGGAGCAATTAATCATACAATTAAATGTTTTAATTGTTTAGTAGCCCTAGATAAAATACAAAGTACTCTGGAAGGAATAATCTATTGCAAAAAATCTATGGATTAAATTAGGTTTGTTTAGTTTTGAGAAGAGAAGACAGATGGGACATGATAACTGTTTTCAAGTACATAAAAGGTTGTTACAAGGAGGAGGGTAGAAAATTAACCTCTGAGAATAGGACAAGAAGAAGTGGGCTTGAACTGCAGCAAGGGAGGTTTAGATTGAAGATTAGGAAAAACTTCCTAACTGTCAGGGAAATTAATCACCAAAACAGATTGCAGAGGGAGGCTGTGGAATCTCTTTATTGTCTAACCTGTTTTTAAAAACCTCCAAACACCCGTCAGGAATGGTCTACTATTATTTAGTCATGCCTTCAATGCAATGGATTGGACTAGATGACCTGCTGAGGTCCCTTCCAGTCCTATACTTCTAATTATGACAGTATAAAACAAACACACACTAATGATGTAGGATCTTATTTTCTAACAGACTGATTAGTACTAGAGCCTTATTTATTCACTGTAAGCAGTTGCAAGACAGTGAATTACTGCATTTTGTGAATTAGCAACTTAGTTCAGCCAACACAGCAAAAAAGAACAAGGATAATATATGAACAAAGCACACTTTGAGACACATTTGACAAGTGTATTTTAATTTTAATTATTTCTGTAACTTCATATTATGCTAACAGATGTCTTTTGGTATATTTTGTAAAAGTAATCACATTTTAGTTAGATAGAACATGATATCACACTATACAGTTGTTAAATCTTTGCTAAAAAGAGTTCTCCTTTACAAGATACCTATAAGTGAGGGAGGCTGATTTTACACCACACAGCACAGTATCAGATTATGTACACTGAGGACAAAATACTATTAGAATTATCTTATTAGCTTTTGATTTTTTTAACGTTAAATTTTTGAATTATATTGCAATTCAAGTAATCCCAAACAAGCACTGCTTTTATGCAAAGAAACATAATTAAGATATACATTAAAAATGAACAAAGTAACTGCAGATTCAGCAAACCTGGATAAGTCATTTCATTAGGTGAAATCAAGTAAACATAACCTAGATAACACATTGCTTAAAATCAAATCCTCAATTTCAAAGGCCAACAATATTTCTTAAAGTTATCATATAACATTCTATGAGCAAGGCGATCAATAGATTGGAGGAAAATATGTGGCACAACATGAGACGTTACAAAAACAGGACATTTCAATTTAAAAAAAATCTGCAATCATCTCAGTATGATAAATTCTAAGGGCTATACTACTTATCACTGGGAACACAGAAAAATTGTAAATTAATCTTGTTCTATAATTTCCTAATTCCTAGTGCAACTAGGACTGGGTGGAATACTGACGATATATTTTGTATCATAAATATTAATAAGATATGAAGTGTCATTTCTAGAGAAAATGAACCAGATGTTTGGGTGCAATGCAGGCATATTCTAGTGGCATAGTTCCAGTACAAAATCTGTCTAAACAATCCAGGGAGACTCATATAGAGTACACGTTACCCTACGAAAATTAAGGGCCTCAATGACTGGTTTCTGAATCTAACAAACCAAGGATTCTGCAATTTCATGTGTGCGCCCCACACTTTATAAGCCAAATTGTATATATTTAATACACTACATTTACAAGTATCATGTGTATCGTTGTGATCTTAATTTTCATTTTAGATATTCACAGATTGGTGTATACTTTATGAGCATCCCAAGTGTAATACAACTAATGCTTGTAAATGTGGTTTAATTACTGTGAAGACTGAGCCCACAGACAGAGAATTAATTTCAGTACATTTCCATTTGCTATGGGAGAGTTGCCTGTTCCAATGAAGCAGCTAACAAGCTTTTTCAAAACTCATCTTTTTCCAGTGGATACATTTTTTCCCCTTACTGTAGCGTGTAGCCATCATGCTAATTACTCTAAGCCTTGCCTGACATTTTTCTTTTTACCATATATAAATTCATTTTTTAATCGAGGCACATACACATTTGCTGTGATATTTATGCATTTAAATCTGGAAATGTATTGAGAAAGTAACAAGGTGCCTTTCAATAGAGCAAGTTTTATGGCTGTTTATAAAGGCTCATGACAAGTAGAACAGCAGGCAATTGTTACTGTGAGAAATTGATTACTTTTAGAGCATCTGTTAAAAGAAATTTACACTGCTTCAAACAACTATCATGCAGCTTAGTGAAAAAACTAATTCTCCCATCTCATTTCTACACCTGACACCCCACATCATCATCATCATCATCAGAGCATCAACAAAGGTTAAGTATGCTGCACTGAATCTAACAGATTAAGGGCTTGATCCTATCACATGCCCAGTACTCTCAACTCCTATACGATTTATGCCTCAATCCTGCAAAGCAAAGTGCACAGGACTCCCACTGAAATTAGTTGGATTCCATGAAGAAGTCATTGTAGGATTAGGCCCTTATATGGGAATTTGTGGCAGAAATTGGTAGGCGGTGCTCTCTGTACCTTAATGTAGACCCAAGTCCCTGACTGCGGAAGTCTATTTTTCTCAGGTTATAACTGATAAGTGCTATAAAATGTTTTGATTATTCATTTACATTTTAAATTATTTTTATTAACATATTTGCTCCCCTTTTGTATTTCGCTCCTCTTAAATTTTTTCAATGAAGTTTTACTATCTTGAAGACTCAGAGAACAGATTTTAAAGCTTGCTTACTAGAATACTAGATATCTGAAGTATGCTTTCCATGAGCATTTGCACTAGACATGTTGTGAAGAAAAACCTCAAGGCTTTGTCTACACTGCAGGCTTCTTGCACAAGAACTGTTTTGCACAAGAGTTTTTGCTCAAGAGCGCATCCACATTGCCATGCGCTTTTGTGCAAGAGTGTCCATGGCAGTGTGGATGCTCTCTTGCGAAAGAAAGCCCTGAGGGTCATTTTAGCCCTAGGGGTTTCTTGCACAAGAAACCCCTATTGCCTGTCCATGCTTCCTTCTTGAGCAAGAGCTCTTGTGCAAGAGGGCTTATTCTTTGTGGGGAGAGGAATAACTCTTGCACAAGAAGCCTTCTGTTCTGATGCTTTACTGTAAATGTACTTGTGCAAGAACACGCATGCAGTGTAGACATAGCCCAAATGTTCTAGTTTGTAAATAATACAAACACAAGTATTGCATTCCTACTGGACCCATCAAGACTAGCATGTAACAAAACCGAGAAAATATCTGATTATATTCCGTATCTTTGGTGTTCCCTTTTCCTCTCCCATTGTTCGTTACTCCCACAGATTAACTGTCTAAAAACTCAAAAACAATGAGAAGTCCGGGGGCACCTTAAAGATTTATTTGGGCATCAACTTCTGAGGTTCATCTGGCAAAGTGGGACTTTGCCCACAAAAGCTTATGCTCAAATAAATCAGTTAGTCTTTAAGGTGCTACAGGAACCCTTGTTGTTTTTGGGGATACAAACTAACAGGGCTACCCCTCCCTCAGACTTATCTAAAAACTCAGGCTCCAACCCTAAAATTAACACTAAACAAGCAGATCCCTGCATCCAGAGAGAGGAATTGGTCTCAAATTCAACATGCAAGTTCAATGTAAAAACAGGCCACTTGCAGATATTTTTTAAATGTTCATTATTCCTTTTTAAACTTAATATGGGTAACAACATTTTAAAACTCATACCTTCCCCTGGTATCTTTCATAAGCTGCTGCAAGTCAGCCTCCTGCTTTCTTAGGTTTCCAAATGAAGATTGACTTTCTACAAAGCCTTTTCCTCCAGCACCCAAGTTGATCTTTCCAAATGAAGTTTCAATACTTCCTCTGACAAAGTCTTCAAACTTTCCCTCGTATTTCACAAAGTCAGACTCAAAAACAACTTGAAAAACAAACAATAAAAAGTGACTAATGCAGACTTTAAAACAATAGATCCTGAAACAGTAGCAGAATTAGTTTGAAAAGCAGAAGCTTGTGGAAAATATGAACAGGTAAAATAAAGTCACGTAGCCTAACAACACTTATTTTCGTTTGTTCCGTCTTCTCCCCAATTTGCTGTTTTTCATTTTGGCATTTTAAGGAAATGTATAATTATTACAGTACTAAGTTCAAATCCTATGAGTTTACAGAGTACTACAGAAGTTTTTCCTGTCATAAATAGAACTGAGATATGACTCAACTACTGATGTTTTCAGGTATTTTCCATAATCTTGATTTGTCGCCTCATGGCCTGATCCAAAGGCCACTGACTTCCATTGATGTAAGTGGGCTTTGGGTCATGACCTCTATGCCAAAAACATAACACACTGTAAGGCACAGAACTCAAAAGCAGTAACAGTTATATGGAAGTTATAAACATAGATCACTCCATGTTACTTGTTTATGTTGAACAGTCGTCATGTCTGCCAAGAGATACTAACTTGATCCATGCTATTACCCTTTCCAGTGTTATTTTACCCTTGGTGCAACTCATGGCTTGTCTACACGATAGGGGATGAAGGGGAGGGGGCAGAGCTTGGAGGCCAGTAATGGACAGGCTCCACGGCCTGCCAGGAGTCCCAAGCCAGATTGCACAATCCGAGTTTGAGACCCCCTTCCCCCGAGCAATGTGAATAGTGTAGCTGAAGTCAATGTACTCAGAGCTACTTACCATGATGACTTTCACATATGTGAGAGACAATGGGAGAGCAATCAGCACTTGATTTATCACATCTACGCTAGAGCCCTCTCTTGCCCCTTTGCCCCGCTGAATCAACTGCTGCCCTTTCAATCCACCCTGTAGTGTAGACCTGCCCTCAATGGTGAGAATAACTATGGGAAACACAGGGAGACACACTCCATACAGGAGGAGATAACCTAGGGATAAAAAATACCTGAGCTCTACACAAGTGCTTCCACTGTTGCTACCACCACCAGATTTTCATTGGTACACATTAAAGCATAAACCAATGTACCAAGATCAGAATCAGGTCCAGACTCCTTCGCTTGTGGCCACTCAATCAAATCTAGAGTTAGTCACCTGTGAACAAATGTGTTCAGCTTTGGCCAAGGTGCCAACGAATAAACAGATAGGAAGACTGAGCTCTCCCCTGTACGCAGCTGGAGATGGACTTTCCAAATCAAGATTGAAAAATAGTGGTGGGAACCTGTGGCAGGCATTGTTGCTGTTTTGGGGGGCCATATAAAACCTTGTTCTAGATGGCAGCTAATTAAGCCTTTGAAACAATCAACATATTACCAAAAAAAAAAAAAAAAAGAAAGAAAGAAAGATTAAAAAAGCAAGGACAGCCCTCAAGACTAAATTTGTCCCAAATTCATCATATGCTCTGGTGGGGCTTGAGAACTGTGAGATGCATCTAACCTTTGGAGGGATAAAGGGCAACTGCTGAGCGTATCACAGTGCTCTCTCACCAGGAGTGCGCTATGCCTACTCAATATTACTACAGAGTGGAGCCTGATGCTGAAAGATCTCTTCAGAATGGCAAGCCATAATATGGCATGATTTAATAACACTGTCTTCAGCATTTAATCACACTACTCCCACTGGACAAGACATTTCAATGTTTAACAAACATTTTATTAGCATTGTTATTAGCTAAATGACAAGTGCAGAAAAAATCATCAGAACATCTTATATTAAAAGTGATTAATGTATGAGAACCAAAAAATAAATCCTGCAGTAACATGCTGTAAGAACTTGCTTTAATAATGGTTACAACAGATGATACTTTTCATTCTTATCTACTGCAATGTCACATAAAGATAGTTTTACCTGGTTTTATAGGTTTGTCTTCAGTAAGCACATCATTCAGCGTGACTGTCAAAAAATGGTACTTTGGTTTCTGCCAGCACCAGAGTTTCTTCTTCTTTGTTACTAAGCTCAGAAGCTGTAATTTATCTGAGTCGTTCAAGCGAGATACAGGGATCAAATCACCGCCACAGTCAGTCTCTCTTACAAAATTTTTTGTTGCTTTTGCAAACATCTTATGGAATTGTTTAATATCTGAAAGAACAAATTCCCTTTTAATATATGACTGGAAAGTATCAGTGCTTAGTTGTCCCCTTTAAAGAAGCTCAAAGTTTTAGAGAATTTCAGCATTGGTATCACTTTTTTTTTTAAATGGCCTTCCTCAAGCCAAATTAGTCTATTTCAATAAGATGGTTTATTAGATGATGAGCTTTCGTGGGCCAGACCCACTTCCTCAGATCAAATAGTGGAAGAAAATTGTCACAACCATATATTATACCAAAGGATACAGTTAAAAAAAATGAATACATATGAAAAGGACAAATCAATGCCCACAAAACAGATATTAGACAGGATCACAAAGAAAAAAGTTTCTTGCCATTTCAACCAGAAAGGACATTGTCTCAACATCTTAATTACCTGCATCCTGCTTCAAAAGCCTTTTAAGACTGCACTTGAAAGAGAATCCTCTGAACTGTTATTCATGCTAAAATTTGACACTTTACACCTGAGTCTGAATAAAGGATCTAATTATCTTACCCATTACAAAGATAGCTTCCCCAAAGATCACCTCTAATATCATTAACTCACAGACATTTACCTTCTCCCTCCTCCATCCCCCTTCTGTTCTGAAATTTGATTTGTCCTTTTCATATGTGTTCATTTTTTTAAATTGTATCCTTAGGTATATATGGTTGTGACAATTTTCTTCCACTATTTGATCTGAGGAAGTGGGTCTGGCCCACGAAAGCTCATCACCTAATAAACCATCTTGTTAATCTTTAAAGTGCTTCATAGTCCTGCATTTGGTTTCAGCTACACCAGACTAACACGGCTACATTTCTATCACTATTTCAATAAGGATTTTCTAAAAGGGAAACTAACCAACCATACAGAGAAAAACAATGAAAATGACCACAGAGTCAAGTGCACAAAGATAATTGTGAGGAAAATGGTTTTTTTTGCAGCTCTGTTTTTTTACTCCTGTGTGTTACTGTATCAATAGTTAAGGAAATATTTTCAACTTGACAGTGTTCTTTATCTCTGAAAGCTAATGCTGAAGAGTTCATCTTGAAACGTAAAATCTTGCATCTGCCCATTTCTTTTCTTTGAAGTTGTATGTTCACACATTGTTCATTAAATTATCTGTTCTGTTCCACACAGATATTACATTTGTCAATTAGAGATGCAGACCAGGGTAGGCGACAATAGACTTCAAAGCAAGGACAGAAACTCAGTGAGCATTGATGAATACTGACAGAAAAGAGACAGAAGAAAAATGCTAGAGGGGAGAGGGGACTTGGGCATACAACTTGAGTTTCATTATTAATAGGGGGAAAAGAAGAAAATATCTTTACAATAGAAACTCACCTTTCTGCTCTCTCTCCCAAAACCCTGTTTCAAATAATACTTCACGCAGTGTTAACCAATTGATGTTCAGGTATTTTCTCATGAGACCTGTAGCCTATTCTTAGTTCTATATTTAAGCTAGGTTAGTAAAAGGTATTTCCTGACTATACAAAAAAAAAAAAAAAAAAAGGGAATTTTAACAACATTTTAAAGTCAAATAACATTTTACCTAAAGGTCTCTCAACACTTTCATCTCAGTGGATAAAAATAAATTAAAAAAAATAAGAGATTTGTTTTTTTTAATTGGATTTTTTATAAAATGCTTTTTGAGAAAAAAAAATCAAAAGATAGTTTTAATTAAAATACAGAGCTCAAATGTCTCTGGAATAGCAATTACAAATTCTAATTCTATAGCATGAGACAATAGTTTTGTAAATGAGTTCCAATATTTCATGGATTACAGACCCAATCTTACAGGGTTTCAGAAGCTTCTGTATAGATTATTTAGGTTAATCTTTCTATCTACCCAATGACACTCAGTGCTCAGTCTAGATAGAAGATAACAGCAGATGCTTAATTTTGAAGTTCTCAAACTATAGATTTGTGTCTCCAGAGCTAACATTCTTGTTAACAGCAAAATATTATTTTAAATAAATAATATAGAGGTGAGAACAGACCTCAATTCTATTGTCTCTCTGCAAATTTATGTACACAGAGTCAATCCCTTACCTCTCTCTAAAAGTGCAAAGTTTCAAAAAGTTCAATAAATAGAATTCAATATTTTAAGTTCCTCATGTTGACCTGGCTGAAATAGTCAATTTAATTTAAAAATATTTCATTTAGCTATTTTAGTTAAGACAATTTTAACAAAAACAAATTTGATTTTAAAAAAGCTTGAACATTTAACTACATTCCAAAATTCTTATGCTTGTTTTGTTAAAATATATTTGCTGTTGAAGGAAAGTCCAGAATACATGACATCACTGTTTTAGTTAAAGTAATTTAAATGTCTGTTTGGTGATGTTCTCCTCCTCTCTTAGCATGACAAGCAAAATCCTCTCAATATTAATGATTAACCTGTAGAACTGGAGATAGTTCACCTCCCAAAGACTTCATAAATATCTGCTTTAATTACCTTTGGTAAATGAAATAACCAAACAAACTTTCATTTTCTGATATAGCTGTAAAGCTAGTCCAAAAAGTTTTCAAAATTAATCATGGTTTAAAAATGTATAGTGTGTACCTTCTAAAATATGAAATCTACATCTATCTCTGAACTGTGAAGAATATATATTATGGTTATGACAACCAACAAGAATGTGCTTTTATATAGAAAGCCTGACTAAATCGAGTCTTCCTGACTAGACATTTAAATCATTCAAATCCACCCTGACTTTCATTATAAGCCGCTATTGCAACGTACCTGGGGCCCAATCCATTCCACAATGGTAATGTTGCCACTAACTTCAGTGGCTGGTGGATCGGCCTTTGCAAGAATCTGAACAAGTTTGGAGTTCTCTCAAACTTCTCGCATCCATGCATACATACAGGTGTGCAACATACTTTCACAACATATTAAAAGACAAAAATGTTCAGCTTTGTTTGCATTTGAAAGGAAGAATCTCAACAACAAAAGGCTGGGTTTTCTGCAGATTTCTATTACAGTGAAGCTGACTTCTGGAACTAACCTGGCAAATGGTTTGTAGTGGAGAAAGAATTCCAGAGAAATTCTCATTCCCTCATCCCCTGTTTCTACTTCTCATTCCCAAGAAATTTCTCCTCTCTCTTTCAGGACACACATACTCCTGTCATTTGCATATCTTTGTACTCACCATGCTGAAATGGGGTCAGTCAGGTTTCCAGGGGCAGGCCCCCCTACATATGAAGAGGGCAGTAACTGACTTCAAAGAAGTTAATACGGAAAGTAGGTCCACTACCCACACAGGTAGAAGTACAGAAATGGATCCTAAAAATGACACCATTTAGCTAAATCTACTCTACTTCAGCCTCATCTTCTATGAATTTCAGAAGTCCCTAGCTTAATCTGAATCTCAATGGAAAAATGTATAACATTTCTCTGTTAAGAATAGTTTCTGATGTATGAAGGCCTTAAGCTTGTTTTTTCACTTCAAATTTTAAACCTATTGTTCCTAGAGATGACACTGTCTTCTTTAACTTGATGCCTACTGATCCGATCTACCTTTTTCACAGACTTTCCCTCAAACAGAATTGTTTCAAAGAGACAACTCTGGGCCCAACGGTAAAACAATGTTGTACTTGGGTTTCCTCAAAACCCTCAGATGTGCCTGTGTGGGGCAGGAGAGAGGTTCTCTTTTAATTTTCCTTTCCATTTTCTTGCTTTGAAGGTTTAAATGAAACAAATTATTGTAGACTAGTGAAAGAAACAAGCAGAGAAGAGGAGGGATGTTTTGCATACTTAACTGGAACTTGAACTAGGCCTTTAAAATAAGTCTGCACATGGGATAGGGATGGGATAGTATTTAAGGGAAACATCACTAGAAGATGCAGAGGAAAACATGTCAGATAAACTCAGTTTTTGCCCATGATGGATAGCCCATATTCTTCGGACTGTTTTTTTCTTCTGTATTTGTGCAGTGACTATCACAAGTTCAGTTCTGGTCTATGACGTGGACTTATAGGTACCACAATAGTACAGATAAATCATAGAATACTAGGACTGGAAGGGACCTCGAGAGGTCATCGAGTTCAGACCCTTGCCCTCATGGAAGGATCAAGTATTGTCTAATAGACATTTATCTAACCTACTCTTAAATATTTCCAGAGATGGAGATTCCACAACCTCCCTAGGCAATTTATTCCAGTGTTTAACCACCCTGACAGTTAGAAACTTTTTCCTAATGTCCAACCTAAACCTCCCTTGCTGCCGTTTAAACCCATAGCTTCCTGTTCTATCCGCAGAGGCCAAGATGAACAAGTTTTCTCTCTCCTCATGACACCCTTTTAGATACCTGAAAAATGCTATCATATTCCCCCACAATCTTCTCTTTTCTAAACTAAACAAACCCAATTCTTTCAGCCTTTCTTTGTAGGTGATGTTCTCTAGACCTTTAATCATTCTTGTTGATCTTCTCTGGACCCTTTCCAATTTCTCCTCATCTTTCTTCAAATGTGGTGCCCAGAACTGGACACAATACTCCAACTGAGGCCTAACCAGTGCAGAGTGGAGCAGAAGAATGACTTCTCCTGACTTGCTCACAACACACCTGTTAATGCATCCCAGAATCATGTTTGCTTTTTTTTGCAACAGCATCACACTGTTGACTCATATTCAGCTCTCTAATTCTAAAATTTCTAATTGCCCAAAGCCTTCAGCAGTGCAAGAAGGAAGGCTGAAGTGGCAGATGACAACAAAACCACAGAACATGAGAACACTGGTTACAAATTCAAGTTGCAAGTAAATACTTTAAAGGAGGGTCCCTGTGTACCAATCAAGTTTGAACAGTAGCTTGACAGTCCAAAAGAGCTGTCAGACTTTATATTTCGTTAGAAACAGCAGCAGAGAAAATATCATTTGAATTCTAACTGGGCCTGAGTCTATACTGAATTATACTAAGAAACAAGTAATCAGAAAGTGGTCACATGTAGCATGTACATTTTATTACCCTTAGAACTTATCTTAATTGCCTCCTTTTTCTGGATAACTTAAATTGAAAAAAAAACCCACCACCACCAACATTAAAGCAAATGCCCAAAAGTTAGTGGGGGAATTATTTTGAAGAAGTTCTATAGCCTGTTTCAATGGTCCCTTCCAGCCTTGGGAAGAATTCATGCAGTTAAAATCAGTCCTGAAAGGAGTTAATTTCAGGCCCAGCTCTGCCATCACTGGAAACACATGCACACTATTTAGCACTGAAAAGATTATTGTTTCCAGCCCTTATGAACTACATACAGCCTTTGTCTCTGGGCTTGTCTGCAACTGTGGTGAATTCACTACAGCAGTATAATTAAAGCTGTTGGACCCTAAAAAACACCCTAGCACGGCCGTTGTTACTAGATTGTTTTGCTTATGCCAGTCCAGCCCTTTATGGGCAGGGGCATAAGTAGGCCAAGCGCTATGTATAAATAACAATAAATTAACAACAAATCCCCTCTGTAAGCCCAAGCCGTACCGTGGGCGTATCTACACAGCAGCCTGCAGGGGTTTAACCCTGGGGCGGGGATACACACACACCCCAGTGGTTAGCTGGCTTCAGACAAGCCCACCTGGAACCACCCCCAGAATGTCCCCACGCGTGGCCTCCGCAATGGAGCTGCAGCCCGGCTGGCGCCGCAGACCGGAGCGGGGCGCGGGCAGGGAGCAGCAGCGCCCCCCCCCCCGCCCC